TGAGCCCCTGTGCCTGGCTATATACACTTAATTAAAAGCAGAACCGCAGGGACCTAGAGTGATAGTAGCACCTGAGAACTGACAGGTGACAACCCAAGAGCAAAGACAGGAGAACTCTACATAAAATGTAGAAATTAACATATTTTAAGGTATAAAGAAACAGGTTATATCCTTGAAGGCATATGGCATGATAATGCATGTTCATAATCAGGAAACATGTGTTTAAAGGGCTTGGCATAATGCCTGGCCTATAATAAATACTCAACAAAACTTCAGCAGCTATTATTATTACCTGTTATTGTCCTGATCTACCAATTTTTTTTTTTTTTTTTTTTTTTTGAGGTAAATGATTGTTATTCTCATATTTGTGATGAGAAAGGTAGAGCCAGGGCTTGAATTTGGTTCTTTTGAGTGAAATACCTGGATTCTGTTTTTTTGAGACAGAGTCTTGCTCGTCACCCAGGCTGGAATGCAGTGGCGCAATCTCGGCTCACTGCAACCTCCGCTTCCTGGGTTCAATCGATTCTCCTGCCACAGCTTCCAGAGTAGCTAGGATTACGGTGTACATCACCACACCCAGCTAATTTTTTGTATTTTAGTAGAGACTGAACATGGGGTTTCGCCATTTTGGCCAGGCTGGTCTCAAACTTCTAACCTCAGGTGATCTGCCTGCCTCGGCCTTCCAAAGTGCTGGGATTACAGACATGAGCCATTGGCCTGGCCGAAATTTTTTTTTTTTTTCAGATGGAGTTTCACTCTTTGTTGCCCAGGCTGGAGTGCAGTGGTATGATCTCAGCTCACTGCAACCTCCACCTCCCCGGTTCAAGTGATTCTCCTGTCTCAGCCTCCCGAGTGGCTGGGATTACAGGCACCCACCACCATGCCCGGCTAATTTTTGTATTTTTAATAGAGACAGGGTTTCACCATGTTTGCCAGGCTGGTCTCAAACTCCTGACCTCAGGTGATCCTCCTGCCTCGGCCTTCCAAAGTGCTGGGATTACAGGCGTGAGCCACCACATTCGGCCGAAAATTTTTTTAAAGTTAAACTTTTTAAAAAAAGTAATCTTTATGATGATTAATACATGACAAAGAAGCAGTTACAACAAATTTTAAATTCCAAGTATAGCATGCAAATAAAAATTAAAATACTATAGAAATGTATAAAGAGTACAAGGCTCTTAAATCCTGCCCTCCAGGGATAACCACTGTTAAGAGTCTATACTTGCTTCTGTATTTTTTTTTTTTTTTTGAGACGGAGTGTTACTCTATTGCCCAGGCTGGAGTGCAGTGACACAATCTCAGCTCACTGCAACCTCTGCCTCCCAGGTTCCAGCGATTCGCCTGCCTCAGCCTCCCAAGTAGCTGGGATCACAAGCGTAAGCCACCATACCTGGCTAATTTTGTATTTTCAGTACAGATGGGGTTTCACAATGTTACCCAGGCTAGTCTCGAACTCCTGACCTCAGGTGATCTGCCAACCTCGGCCTCCTAAAGTGCTGGGATTACAGGTGTGAGTCACCATGTCCAGCCTCTTCTGTAACTTTTTAATGTATGAAAATAGAGCCTACTTGTACAACCTTTTAAAGTATCGGGCTGGGCACTGGGGCTCATGCCTGTAATCCTAGCACTTTGGCAGGCCGAGGCAAGAGGATCACTTGAGCCCAGGAGTTCAAGACCAGCCTGGGCAACATAGTGAGACTCTATGTTTATTAAAAAAATAAACAAACCCAAAAACCAAAAAGAAAATTAGTTGGGTGTGGTCCTGAGCACCTGCAGTACCAGCTACTTGGGAGGCTGAGGTGAGAGGATTGCTTGACCCCAGGAGTTTGAGGCTACAGTGGGCTATGATCATATTACTGCACTCTAGCCTGGGCAACAGAACAGACCTTCCCTATTTAAAAAAAAAAAAAAAAAAGTATCATACTACATTTTGTTTTTTGTTTTGTCTTCTTTTTCTCTCACCAATATCCATGTCATCAATACAAATCTAACTTACTCTTAGTGTCTTTTTTTCTTATTATGGTAAACATTGTTATATATATCTGAATACTTAACAAAATAGGCTATAAAGCACAGATTTTTAGAATTATTTTGAATTTATGGATTCTACCAAGTTCTTCCAAAATGCTGAACAATTTACACTGCCACCAAATCTTTAAAATTTTAGAAAGTATGCTCTTCCTCACTTCCCACCATTGTTACCAGTGCTGGATATTACCAACCTGAGAGGCAAAATTAAAATGTATTTCACTGTTGTGTGTCTGCATTTTACTGACTGCCATGGAAATCCTTACACCTTTTCCTAGGTTCATTCACTATTTGTATTTCTTACGTGAATCACCTTTCATATTCTCTTTGCCCATTTTCTATTGATTGTCTTTTACTTATTGATTTGTAGTAGTCCTTTGTATATTATAAACATTTACTTTTTGTTCTATATGCTACAATTATTCTATCTTTCAATGTTATTGTTCTATATAGAAGTTAAAAAATTTTTAACATACTCACATCTGCTAATTTTTTCCTGTATACCTTCTGAATTTTGTCTATTAAGAAAGCCTTTTCTACATCAAAACTATAAAAATGATTTCATATTTTATAGTTTTTTTTTTTTAAACATATAGATCTTTAGCCATATACAATTTATGTGGCACATTAATAGTATGGTGTGAAAAGATCCTGTAATAAAAATCTTAAAATAACACAAAAGGGATAGCCTCCAATAATCTGGAAAGTTCATATATGGACTTCCTTTTCTGAAACCATGTAATTAATGAAATGTTATAATTAGAAGTATGAGCTAAGCATTTTGCCCCTTTTAATATCATTTAAAAAGTGGGCCTAAGGATGTACTTTGCATTATTAATGTCAATCAACCATGCTAAGAAACCTGAGCACTATGATGTGAAAAGAGAACATGGGACAGGGTCATGCAGCACTGATCTCGCATCAGGACAGGCTCAACCCAGAGGTTTCCTGACTTAGAAAACAAACAAACAAACAAACAAAACAAAAAATAAAAACTCTTCCTCAAAGGAACAGTAACTTCATATCCTGGTAAATGAAACTTACATCTACCCACCCAATCACTTAGCTTCCCTTTTCTTCTCTTAGGCAACAGCCTGAGAGACTTGTTAAAACCATCAATTCTATCTTCTTTAATTCTTTAGAGAAGAATAACATTTTTTAGATTTAAAAATAAAGGATGAGTGAATCTCATTCCTTAACAGTGACTTCTGTTTGAGTTAGCTAGGACTGGGTATTCAAAGGCCTAAGAGTTCATAAATGAACACTCCAGTAATTATGGTAGCAGGGTTACTATTGGAGACAGGACTTCTCACTAGAAACTGTACTGATTTATTGATTTATCAAGGCATTTTTTTTTTTTTTTTTTTTTTGAGACAGAGTCTCACTCGGTTGCCCAAGCTGGAGTACAGTGGCGCAATCTCGGCTAACTGCAACCTTCACCTCCTGGGTTCAAGCAATTCTCCGTCTCAGCCTCCCAAGTAGCTGGATTCACAGGCTCCTGCCACCACGCCTGGCTAATAGTAATATTTTTAGTAGACATAGGGTTTCACCATGTTGGCCAAGCTGGTCTCAAACTCCTGACCTCGTGATCTGCTTGCCTCAGCCTCCCAAAGTGCTGGGATTACAGGTATGAGCCATTGTGTCCAGTCCAAGGAATATTTACCCAGTGCTATCAGGAGCTCCCTAAGTATCAGAAAACACTGCATTTATATTACAATATCTACTACAGCTTAACTCTGTAAGCTAGTTGAGGTATTTAGTTATAGTTGTGCGGTTTTTTTTTTTTTGGAGACAGAGCCTCGCTCTATTGCCCTGGCTGGAGTGCAGTGGCGTGATCTCAGCTCACTGCAGCCTCCACCTCCTGGGTTCAAGCGATTCTCATGTCTCAGTCTCCCAGGTAGCTGGGATTACAGGCTCCTGCCACCATGCCCAGAGAATTTTTGTATTTACGTAGAGATGGGGTTTCACCACGTTGGCCAGGCTGGTCTTGAACTCCTGACCTCAGGTGATCTGCCCCCCTTGGCCTCTCAAAGTGCTGGGATTATAGGTGTGAGTCACTGTGCCTGGCCTTAGTTACAGTTCTTTGTGAGACTTACTAACTTAAGGCTTTATCTTTCCAGTATGGAATTAAAAAAAAGCAATGAGTTATCAAGAGTTAGGTAAAGGCAGGTTGAGCTGACAACTACCTTACTGCCTTTTCTTTTTTGTGCCCATGTGGAAATGCCCCTCAAAAAGACCTAGTATTAAAGGAAAGCTTAGAATCTTTATTTTACCACTAAGAAGAAATAAAGCAGTGACTGGTTCACAAAATCTGGTCTGTGGACCACCAGAGTAACCACGAAGTCAAACTATTTTTGTAATAACAATTAAGACATTATTGCCTTTTTTACTGTCGTTATTTTACAAGTGTAGGTAGAGCTCTTCAATAATTTTTAAATGTGTAAAAGGGTTCGAAGACTGAGAAGTCTGAGAACGCCTGATAAATGCAAAGTCTTTCTGAATATTTTGTATTGGGACCCCAAATTTCTAGGTGTACCAATGCTCAACCCTCATGAAACCATCTTAATGTGTTTACTTGTCTGGAGTCTGCACATAGAATCCAAACTCATGAAATACAGACTGTGTGCCCAAAAAAGTGCTCAGAAATCTGTCTATAAATATTAGTCTGTTCTTTTGGGTAGCATGAAGCTTTCTCTTACTTGTGGAAAGAGTGGTCTCTCATCTCTTTTCTTTTTGAGGCACTCTGCCATTAATCTCTTCATGGCTTTTGGACAGTTACTCCGTACCTTACTGAGATCTGGAGATAGGTATCCTCGTCCCACCATGAAAATTATCTGGAAAGAGAGAAAAAAAAAAGGCAAATAATTCAACCTTGTAAACAAGTTGAAAAATATACTTCACATTCACTGAAAACACAATAAATTGTGCACTTACAGCTTACAATGTATGTATTACACCTCAAGAGAATGTTATAAAAAACTAATGCCACATCATGATTGTGGGGAACCCACACAAGTAGCTGCAAGCTCAAATCTTCATGATCCCTGGACTGTGGCAAAAGTTCTCTAATTGCTCCCCTGCTTTTGATCTCTCCTTATCCAGTCCATTTTCCCACTCACAGGGTAACCATCTAAAACAGATCTGACAGTGCCTCTTCTTTAAAAAAATATATTTATTCAGCACATCTTGTTGTTGGACATTGTGGTAAGCCCTTTATACATGTGTAGGGAAAACCAAGGAGGTTAACATTTTCGCAGTTGTTTTGCCATCTGCATTTTAAGCCCTTTTATTGTGGAAACACTAATGGGCCATTTGGTTTCCTACCCCAGAGGAGGGAAGGAGAAGCCATTAGGAGCTAAAATCTTCTGTTTAATGAAGTAAAAAGGCTTGTCTTCCCTGGGTTCAGAGATTTAGAATTTTTTCTAATTTCTTAATTTCCTAATATTTTGCCTCTTTTGAGGGCAGGCAGAGATAGATGTTAGGAGTCTTGAGACTCAGGGAGGACAGCCTGAGAGAAGGGCTTTTGATCTTAGCGGGAATAGGTCCAACAGGGGCAGAGTAGAGGCTAAAGTGGAGAAAGTCTGTAAGAGATCCCTGCTAGAGGGCAGAGCTGATGAATTTAAAAATGGTCAAGCTTGATATATTGTGTTATTTCCTGTTTGCTGCTGTAATGACTCTTCACTGCCAGCCTTTAGTAAAGCTTTGATTGGAATGTGGTCTCTATATGGTAGAGGTTAAAGATGTACCTTGGAAAGAGATACTGAATTGAGGAGAGTACAGTTTTCTTCCACAATGCCCCCTACTGAAGCCACACCATCGTATCATCATCATTTTAATGGAAGACAGCAGTCTTAGAATTCTGGGAGCTCGCCCGCTCACGCCTGTAATCCCAGCACTTTGGGAGGCAGAGGCAGGTGCATCACGAGGTCAAGAGATCGAGACCATCCCGGTCAACATGGTGAAACCCCGTCTCTACGTGCCTGTAATCCCAATTGCTCAGGAGGCTGAGGCAGGAGAATTGCCTGAACACAGGAGGCGGAGGTTGCGGTGAGCCGAGATTGCGCCATTGCACTCCAGCCTGGGTAACAAGAGCAAAACTCCGTCTCAAAAAAAAAAAAAGAATTCTGGGAGCACAACCTGGAATAATACCTTGGAGCAACAGGTGATAAGCAACACCCAGAAGAATGTAAAGCACTTCAAACAGAGGTCTTCTAAGTTGAGAGAAAGGATCTGGAGTGCCTATAGTCATATATTATGGACAGCAATTCAGGTATTCTTACTTGGCTATCAATGGAAAAGGTAGCCCTGAAAGGTCAAAAAGTTTGGGACACTTGGATACTAGATGTCATCTAATTTAATCCTCAAAAAAAGAATTCTACAAGGTTGGTATTGATCCCATTTTACAGATAAGGAATCCAAAGCTCAAATAAATTAACTTGCCTGAGATAATAGGATTTGTAGAGAAATCTACACCGATACAAAGCTACTTTTAACTTTTTTACTGCTGTTGCTCCTACTCTGCTTGTAATGCCCTCCCTGACCCTGCTCTAGCTACCTGAAATCCAGATGAATCAAGGCCTAACTGAAAGGTAACCATGCTTATCATACCTTTCTTTACATACCTGGAAGTAATAATGGTCTTCCTTCCCACCACTAGCTATGATAATTATTTATTGCCTTGTACGGTTATTAACCTTTTTGTGATAGGTATCTTATCTAAGTTCTCCAATGAGACTACGGGTGCTTGTAAGGCAGAGAGATTGTGACTCATACATACATATTTAAAAAAAAATTCTTAAAAAATATCTATAACACCACCACCTCCAGTATTTAACATAACCTTGTGGACACAAGAGGTTTTCAATGTTTATTCATTAAGGTCAGTGATAACTTTTTGCTAGTAGATTAGTCATGTCATGTATCTATAGCCTTTAAATTAGGGTCAAGTATCACCAGGGTTACATGAAGACTTTACCAGAGGTATAAAGACATGGTGTTTTTTTTTTTTTAAATTGAGACAAAGTCTTGCTTTGTTGCCCAGGCTAAAGTGCAGTGGTGCGATCTTGGCTCACTGCAACCTCCCCTTCCTGGGTTCAAGCAATTCTCCTGTCTCAGCCTCCTGAGTAGCTGGGATTACAGGTGTGCGCTGCCACACTCATCTAATGTTTGTATATTTTTTTTTTAGTAGAGACAGGGTTTCACCACGTTGGCCAGACTGGTCTCAAACTCCTGACCTCAAGTGATCCACCCACCTCAGCCTCCCAAAGTGTTAGGATTACAGATGTGAGCTACCATGCCCAGCCAACATAGTGGTTTTAAGGGAATTAATTTCTACAACCATCAACTTACTCATATCCCCTTTGAAAAAACTGATTTGCCAGAGAACCACTCAAGTCTCAAGTGGAGGTTTAACACTTATCCTCCTTTCCCATTCTCCCTGTTATAACTGCCCTTCTACCACTTTACAAAAGCCACACCTTTTACCCATGTGCAACCTAAATATAGTACACATTGTCCCAAGGCGTAAAAACCTCTGGGGCAACAAAGAGACATTTCCAAATACTGGTGTCGAACTGGGCTCACACAAATGGGTAACAAGTCTGTCGTTTCCAAATCTTTACTTTCAAAAATATTAGTTGAAATGTCAGCTGAGCTTTTAAAACATTTTTAATGACAAGTTACTATGTAAATTTTGGTACTTTATAGGAATGAGCTCAAATGATTGAGTGATACAGTATGCGGCAAGGAATTAAAATCAACCTTGCTCAAAGAGAGAGCTAGCCTTTGCTCTTGGATCCTGGGAGGTAATCACTAAGCCCTTGAAATGTTCTGCCTGATCAGAGTGTCTATTTATCTGGGGGCCATGGGCCACGCCAGATAGTCTAGGCTAACAATGTGATTTACAGAAGGGGTCTGGGGTATGTGGCATCAGCTTGACCTCTACAGGAGCTGTAAACTAAGGTCAGCATCGCAGGTGGTCAACCATATCTATGTGACTGAGCTGCAATAAAATCTCTAGATTCCAAGTCTCAGGTGATTATCCCCTGTTTGGCAATAATCCATGTATCTTGTCACACACTGCTACTGGAAGCTCTGTCCACAACCCCACTGGGAGAGGGTGACAAAAAGCTCCTGAATTTTGTCTTATAAATCTCTTAAAAGAACACTCCCGAAATTTGTCCTGTAACTCTCTTCCCTTGTTAATTTTAATATGTATTCTTTCATTGTAATAAACTGTAACTGTGACTCTAACAGCTGTCAGTGAGTCTTGAGCAGCTTTCATTGAGTTTTCAGTGAGTCCTTTTAACAAACCTGAAGCTGGGTCTTGGGGACCACTAAACTCTGCATGTCGAGGGGACCACAAGACTCCTGCCTTTCTCATCTTATAATTTAAATACAATTTCTCAGTACTTACCTCTTTAGAAATGAAATAAGGAATGGATCAATACTAAGTCCTAGTATCTAGTGTCCTAACAGAAGAGTTGTATTTATCCACAGATAGATACATTAATTGAAGGGAAAGGAAAAGTCCATGTCATTCATTAAGATACATATTTCCAATATAATTTTACCTTCTAATTTTCCATATACAAAACTTACATGTTGCTTTCATCAGTTATATGTTACTTGTAACAATAACATAATTCAGAATTAAGAAAATAATAATCAGAGCTTGAAGTTACAATTTTGTAAAATTCTAAATTTAAACATATACACAATTTTATTGCAGAGTTGTAACTTAACAAACAAAAGGCTTTAAAACATACAAATATGTTACATTAGGATGAAGTTCTGTAAGAGAAACAATATAAATAGTTTGAAGAGAAAAAAACAACCATGTGAAACTTCCAGAAATTAATGAAGAACTTCAGTATTTTTTAATAGGCATAAAATCAGTATGGTTTTTAGATTTGAATGCATACATTTCAAAAAGAGAGAGATATATGTATCTAATATTATAGTCTTACTTTCAAATGTTAATAGAATATACCGGAAATTACATTCTTTGCAATTATTTAAACAAGTTAAAAACTTTTAGATGCCAACTTAAAAAATGTAAAAGGAGGTACGCAGTTTTTTCAAGATTCTTTCAGGAGGAATGTGAGAAAAAAAATTGAAGACAACTCTCATGTTTTTATAGATCCCACAGAATTTAGTTAGGGCAGAGCACAAAGCAGGCAACCTTCAGTATCTGCTGGGGTGGGGTGCAGAAGCTGACTGATGAAGAAACAGAAGAAAAAAGGGAAAGTTTTTCCTGGATGTTATTCATGGACAGAAGATTCATGTGGCACATACACTATGAAATCAATACCTCGGCTTGAAATTCTGGGACTGGTTCTTCATACGTTCAATCCACGCTCAGCACTCCTGGCATCTCGACCCTGTCATTCACTCCATGGTATTACTGGAGCACATGTCTGCTCATTTTCAGTATCGCCCCCAGCATGACCTCAACAGAACTGCCCATGCCATTAAGAGCAGAGCCTATGTTTTGTTTTATTCATTTTGAATCCCTCTATATCCCATAGTACTTTGCATTAGTTGGTATTAAAAACATTTTCTATTAAAATAATTTGCCTGTTGATAAGAGACTGGTACTGGCTTCCTGTTTCTTCAGATCTTGTGCTTAGAACCTGCCACCATGCTGTGAGAAAGACCAGTGAAAAGGTCCTCCGAGACCTTCGAAGAGGTCTGCAAGGAAAGGCTTGTGTGGAGAGTAACTGAGCTTCGAGCTTCTAGCTAGCACCAATTTGCCAGGCATGTGAATGAGCCACTCTAGAGTGGATTCTTTTAACAACCAGTCAGTCTACTCTAGTCAATACGGGGTGAAACAGATTAGAACCTTCCTTACTGAGAGCAGCCCAACCTACAGATTAATATTTTAAGCTACCACATTCTGGGTGGTTTGTTATGCAGCAATTACAACTGGAATACACTTGAAATAACGAATATATACTATTTATTCTTCTAAGAAGACACAGCAATTCTGCTCCAAGAAAAGAAAGCCATGAAGGTATAGTCAATATACCTAACTTAAATGAGCACATTATTAAGTCCAATTTACAAGAGAAAGCGCACTGAAGGAAGGAAGAATAGGGTGATTAATAGAGAGAAAAATATTGGAATGAGAAAGAGGGTAGGGGGATGACCATGTGATTTACCAGACTTTCAGTGCTAGGGTAAATAAAGGTAAAAAGGCATACTGCTTTGAAGAGGGCTAAGAGATCTATTTTAGAAAAGAATCTGATTTTTGAAGCTGGAAGAAATTCTTTAGCTGAATTGTCTTATTTTTGGGGTGATTGAAAAAAGAAAAAAGGCTGGGTGCAGCGGCTCATGCCTGCAATCCCAGCACTTTGTGAGGCTGAGGTGGGTGGATCATGAGGTCAGGAGTTCGAGACCAGCCTGGCCAATGTGATGCAACCTCATTTCTACCAAAAATACAAAAAAATTAGCTGGGCAAAGTGGCACGTGCCTGTAACCCCAGCTACTCAGGAGGATGAGGTAGGAGAATCCCTCAACCTGGGAGGCAGAGGTTGCAGTAAGCTGAGATTAGGCCACAGTATTCCAGCCTGGGTGACAGACTAAGACTCTGTCTCGGGGGAAAAAAAAAAAAAAAAAGAAAGAAAGAAGAAAGGAAAAAAAAAGATACCCAGAGAGGTAGGTAGACCAGGTCATGCAAATCTGGAGTCCAAGGCCTGCCATTACATCACATTGCTTTATCAACTCTGCTCTGAATTTACAGGCAAAATCTGCCACCTCAGATTATGGGCATGAGAGTCTAGGGGAATGGTATTCGCATTGCACAGTAAAGAATATTCCTGGATTCTTAAACAGATGTCTGAGAGCCATAAAGATCCAAGTATAGAGACAGCAAAAGAAAAATCAAAGGATGAATGGAGCAATACCTAGGGCAACTTCATTGAGGATGGCCATAGTTAACCCTTCAAAATGTGGAGTTTCATAGAAAGTACTATTTGACGAAAGTAAACTAGAGGGTAATGAAGCAGAATGGGGGTGGTTGTAAGAGGATATCATTCTTTTACCTCCTTCTTCTCCATTAAATACTTAACCTGGTTTCAGACTAGCAAATTCCAGAAGGTTCTAACTATACTATTAGAAAGAATTAACTAGTAAAGGCCTTACCCTTCTGTTGGTCACACACTCCTCTCATGGAGAGTAAGCCCTTGCCACATCATTTATTATACTCCCATGGAGGACAAAGCACCTAAAATGCCAAGAAGTGGATGAGTGTAGAACTCTGGGATGCTTTTATCCGTATTTTGGAGATAATACTTGTTTCTATATTATAATTTTATTATTGTATTAAAATAAACGTATTCACTGACAAATGAATTTCATCCAGATTTTAGGTTCATAAATTTTTATTAATTTGTAGTCTATATGAGAAATCAACTGAAACTAAACTGAAAATCCATAGTAATTCCTCCAGAAAAATATTATGTACAGGAAAAGTGAACATGGTACAGGATGTTATGCTGTATGATTGAATTAATAAGACTGTAAAAGGTAGAGCATATGAAGCTTGTAAATTAGAGACCATTTGGCTACCCAGGCTTCCATCGTCAAATCAATCATTTCAGTGATCTATATCTATCACAAGTACAGTAAGTACAATGTTTCAATTATGTTCTTTAGAAATTTCAGTCCATCCTGAATCTAAGTTTCATGCAGGCTTAAAACATGAGATCCAAAGTCATGTTATTTCATACTCAAAGCTAAGACTCAATACTCTAAAGCTATGAAGTAGTTAGAAAGGCCAACAGCAACTAAAATTTAGTTTTATAATGAACTGGGCAGAAATGTAGCCATTTTTAAAAATCATCAAACACAGTCAAGACCATTGTTGTGTAAGGGCCATATGGTGATTCAACAAGCACACACACAAAGTTCATGGTAACTTAAGAGATTATTTCTCTGATATCACAATAGGTGAAGTGAGAAAGCTACTCAGAGCTAGCACCAAAACGACAGAGTTGAGCTCTTGACAAAACAGACAAATCACTTAAATGAAGCAACACATTTATATACAAAAAATACAGTTTCGTCAGGTTGGGAAGCTATGATGAAATACTGAAAAAGCTTGCACTTAAAAAAAGTTATTTAGATTGGTGACTCTCAACTTTGGTCTATATTGGAATCACCTGGGAAACAGAAAAAAAATGCAGGTGAGTGGACCCTTCCCCATTTAATTAGAATCTGCTCCAGTATCTCCGTTTTTAAACAAAATTCCCAGGTGATCCTGGGGCAAATCATAGCATAAAGTCTAAATATTCTTTAATCAAAGTTTATGTGGTCAACTGGTGTTTTCTATTAACAGTATAACTCCTGTAATCTCTCTACACACACTCACAAACCTTTTAAAATACAGAGTTATCCAAAGTAACTTTAGTAAAGACAATTCATTTTTCTTGGCCAATTTTAAAAGTCTAAGCGAGCTTACTGAGTCAGACAGAGAAAAAGCTAAGAGTTCCATGAGGCTATGTTAGTACCTTTTGGAAGGTAAGGGACGGGGAACAGGAACTTAGCAAGGAAAGAAGTAAAAAATTACCCTCCAACTAGAATTCTCATTATAGAAAATAATCAAAGCATGATTTCTTCCATTTACCTAGTTTTAAAAATTAAAGAATTCAAGAAATCTTAATAATTTTAAAAGAATTTAATATAAAAAAACCTCATAGCTGAGTACCTGTTCTGACAGCACAATCTATGATACAGCGAAAAGTTTCAAGCCCAGATGCTACAGTAGCAGAGCTCATTCTTCTAATTGTGCTATAGTCAAGAAATACCCATTGTTATATCTGTAGTTTCTAGTCAGAAAGTCAGGAATTTTATTCCATTGTAACATTTATGGCTGATATTTTGAGAAAAGGACTTACATGTTGTTATTACTGCCAAAAGTATACAAACGATTTCTAAAACTGCTAAAAAAAACCCCAAAAAAACAAAAACCAAGACATCTATCTTTCATGCTTACTCATGACTTACCACTTATTTTCTAAAACTAACTGGAGCCTTGTATAAAGATGGTAAAATAAACACCAAGAGGTGGTAAATATTTACCTGGTCCCTGTTGTTGATGTTTGAATAAGGTAACTGTCCGGTCATCAATTCATACAGAACAATCCCAAATGCATATACATCTGACTGAAAGCTGTATGGATTTTTATCTTGCATTCTGATGACTTCTGGTGCCTATTAGAACATACAAAGAAAAACGGTCCAGTTAATTCTTCCCTTCAACTGAATAAAGACTGAAAAAACACACTACTGTAATTCCTAGTCATGCTTTTATCACTAAAACATGTCTAATATGTAATCAATTCTCTTGATAGTCAAAGAAATACAACTGATTAAGATGAAGAAAAAAAGCCCTCTGCTCTATAAACTCAGAAAGAGACAGTATAAGCAGAGATTTTGTTTTGTATTACTAAGATTTTATAATTTAGTAATTATTGAGGCAATTTCTTTCTGCACAAAATACCGTAAATGTCAATTGAATTATTCCTATGACTTACCCTATTAGAATCAGTTCCCAGTTCCCATTCCCGATTCAGCAAAGAAATATTAGACTTATGGTTATAAGATGCTTGGAAGCAGCACAATTACTGTAGTAACTGTCTTAGAATTTAAGTTTTCTCACTGGTACAAACAACTTTTCTCATCTCAGGACACCTTAGAAAATAATGATAGAATTTCAAGACTGATAAACTCAAATCCCCTTTCAAGCTATGGAATAAGCATATGGTATAAACATGCCATGGATACTTTATTAAAAGCAAGACAGTGGGTAGATTTAGTAGAAGATGGTATAAAGAATCTTTTGGCTGCTGCTTTTGGCGCAATGAAACAATCATATTTTCTATATTTTTAGTCATTGTATTGCACAGATTTCTTATTTACATAAAATACAGTAAACAGTTGGTAAAGTATTAGCTAAAAAGAGTTCTTCTTTCACCTTGGGTCTTCTGTATTGTTTCATTTGGAAGGAAGTAAAATGGCAGTATATTAATGAAAAGTTTGTGACAATGTCAATTTGACAGCGAAAGTGGTACTAACTGTGCAAAAATGGCTGAGAGATCTGGGACAAGGTTCCCGGTTATTGGTCTGGGAAAGGCAGGCATCTCATAAGGAGAGGCAGTAATGGCACTCAGCAACAGCTGCAAATGAGAATGACCCGTAGAGCCTTAAACCCCTCAACATTCAGACTACACTCCAGTCCAATCATATAACATAAGAGTCTGGGGGTGGGACCCAAACATTAATTAGTCTTTAGAGCTCTCCAGATGATTCTAATGTCCAACCAAAGTTGAGAACCACTGATGGAAGATCTGTGGGATGTCCTGAAGAAAGCGAGAGGATGGAAGTGAAGGAGAAGATTGTGTCTACTTGCCTTTGTCATACATTTTGTTCATAGTTGCTTTTAGTAATACAGTACAAAATAAAACACATATGACTGTGATGTAATGAGCAAGCCCAAGCCAGAACACTGAGAGGTTGGTACGGCAAAGACATAATTTTCAAAGCCTGAACCAATTTTTGTGAGAGATGGAGTAGAAATCAGATGAATTTTTTTTTTAAATTTAGTTTTATCTCATACTGTTAATGTTGTTAGTAGAGAGTTTGATGAAAAGTTGCACGTCACCTATTTTAAGAAATGCATGACGAATCTTCAATTTAGTGATTTAATTTGTAAAAGCTCTCACAAAAGTTTCTTTCTCTTCTAAGACATAAATAAAACAAAGTTGAGAAGAATGTTGTATATAATTCAGAGGACCACATAGCCTTAGTTATGACCAAACTCTTCTCTCCTATGATACTGATGTTCCGTATTTGTTTCTGATGGCAGTTATCAACCCAGGATTGGTTTAACAATGAAGGGGTACTGTTGGCTATTATTCTCTTGTCTAAAACTCAGCGTGGAAGAATAAAGGAAAAACCCATCTACACAGGTATCAACAAAAAAAAATTATAAGAAAATATAAAACTTTATGTATAATAATCTACAAACTGTATAAACTAAGATTTTTGAAAAAGTAAGGACAAAACTGGAGACCTGATTGAGCATAACTTTCCCATACTAGTTAAAAATGAACATACTTTAAAAGCATGTGACATTGTTTATAATCTTAAGTTTTACAATTTCAACACTGAAAATCTGTTTTCCCTCATCTTTTTAGGATACACTGCCATCTTTTTCATAAAATGTGTACGCCTTAGTAAAGGTGCCAGACATCAGATTATAGTTATTAATTTCCTTTCACTTACAATTATTAATTTAAACAGTTAAACATATGTTAAATAATGAAAAAAATCCAGCTAACTCCAATCACCAAATCTTAGAAACAGAAGGGGCATTTGAAATCTACTAGTCCAACTCAACATTTCAGATTAAGAGACTAGGAGGTTAAGAAACTTGCAGTTTAATGGCCAAATAGGGTACTAGAAAACAGATCTTCTAACTTGAAGCCCAATGTTCCATCTTGCCACTTGCCCTAATTCCACTTACTGTCGTAATCATAGCTCAATTTAACTCTAGGTTTATTTTGACAAACGGAGTCCTAACTTGGACTTCCCTTTTTGGAAACTGCTACACACAGTTTGTAGCTTTGAAAGCCCTTACAACTATTCTGTTTCTATCAGGGTACTCTGAATGTCTTAGTGCAGATTAAGTTATTTAAAGCTTAGAATTGCACTAAGATGTTTGGGAAAGCTTATATCAGCTTAGAGCTGTGGTTTTCAAACTTTTCAGTCTCAGGGCTCTTTTTCACTCCTAAAAATTATTAAGGACCATAAAGAACTCTTGTTTATGTGGATTACGCCGGTGGATAGTTATCATTAAAATTTAATGGAGAAAGTAAACTATTAATTCATTTAACTACTAAAATAATAACAAGTAGATGTTAACATAGATCATCCATTTTTAATGAAAAACAACTATTATCAAAAACAAAAAAAAAAATTTACTAAGAAGAATAGTACTACAATTATCCTCTTTTTATGGTTTAGAGGTGGGGTCTCACTATGATGACCAGGCTGGTTTCAAACTCCTGGGATCAAGTGATCCTCCTGCCCCAGTCTCCCAAGTAGCTGGAACTATGGGCTCAAGCTACCATGCCTGGCCTGTGATTCTTTTCAATGTCTAGCTTAACAGCAGCCCACTGGATTCTCATAATTGCTTCTGCACTCAATCTGCTGCAATGTATTGTTTTGGTTGAAGGATATAAAAATAATCTGGTCTCATAAAGGGAAGACCTTGCTGACCCTCTAAAATGGTACGAGGGACCCTTTTAAGAATGCTGTTTCAGGGAATGATTCATATGACTGACCTTTCCACAACTTGCTCCCACTGCACTGAAGTTTTAGTTCTCTTCCTTTAGAACTTCTCTTTCTTCTTTTCCACAAAGCAAAAAACAGGAAGAAAGAGAAAGAAAAAGCTATGCCAAGACAGCACAAGGCTGACTGTTAACCTACCTCTCATTTGTCTTTTCCAGATGCCCCATAATTATGAGATCCTTTCTAGTCTAAAGGAAGTAACTTTCCAATTTAGGCTTAAATAAGATTGTGAAACAGCTTCTCTGTTAAAAGGAGCAGTTCTCTTAGTAAAACCATAATAATGGCTGTGGATCACACCGGCCTTAAATTCCACATCTGTTTTTTTTTTCAACAGGGTACACAGAACATTTTGAACACAAAATATTTTAAACAATTTTGAATAAAATATGAAACACTGCGTATAAGACATATATTTTTGTTTGAAGCACACTGAAACTGGTTTCATAATACTCAAGGATAAAGAAAAAAGTTAAAAAATCTATTTATATAAAAAATAAGAACATTGATTTCTGTGAATACTGGGAACTATGAAAATACTGTAATTGAAACCTTCAATGACTTTGTAGTAACTCAGCAGCATCTTAGGGCCAAAAATTTAATCAGTGGAAAAACAGCCTCAATTCTTACCATCCACAAAATGGATCCAGACAACTGTTCAAACTGATGGGACCCACTCCATCGAGATTTCACTGTGGCTAGACCAAAATCACCTATTTTTACTGTGAGGTCTTCATGAAGAAATATATCTGAGGTGTAGTAAGTAAAGGAAAACAACAGATCTCATTTTCCCATCAGAGCAAGCATTATGAAGATTTAAGGTAAGAGATCTAATTCTATAATTCTGTAATATGATATTCTCTAAAACATACTGCTTCATCTTTCCTTTTAAAGTAAGTATGTCTAAAACAATGATTAGTTCTATTTAGCCTATATAATCTTTTAAGATTTTTGGGGCTTTAAATGTGCTAAGATGAGGTGAGATGCTTTCCTAAGTTTATGAGAGAACATGAAACTTTCCCATTAGATTTTAGCAATGTAGGCCCAGATATTCTCTTGGCACCGCTGGGCAAGCTATAAAGGCTCTTCATTGGAATGAAGATGCTGGCAGACAGTATCTTAGTCTGCACTTAGGGAAGAAGAAATATTATATTTTTTTCACCTCATTGTTAGCCTTCAGCTATATTTCAACTACCACTAAGCAAAGTCAGAGGTCTGAAAGGGACTAGTAGATAGCTACAAAACTATCAGTTTTATAGTGCTGATAAAATGTAAGCTAGTGGTCAAAAAATCCTACTACTGGAAAGACTTTTGATGGATTTTCTTGTAATGTTCAGTCGTTGAGAAACCAAAAGCAGGCTGTAGTATCCTGCTCTCCTATACATGCATGCACAATCCTTTATTAATTCTCTTTACAGTATATCAAACTTAGCATGAAAACTGTTTTTACATAATGTGAAGACAAAATGCAGAAGAAAAAGTCAGGATGCTTTCAAACTTCGCAGACAAATTTCAGGAAGGATACTATTACTCTTGAGGTCTCTGTGGATGATTGACTTGGCGTGTAAGTAACTGAAAAACAAAACATCATTTTAACCTGAGTAGGGCTAAAGGACTATGGCCTCAAAATCTATAGAACATACTTAGGGGTGTAAAGGCTTATTTAGAATCATGATACAACTGGAAATTGTACATTGTGATAAACCCTTCACAGAATATTAAAATAGACTATAAATGAATTTAAGATTACAGGAACATATCACTATAATGGTATAGTCAAAATCTTGTTTTCTATTAAAAGACTTTATCTTTTACTAGTTACCAATACAAACCTTTCACTCCAGTCAAGCCTATTTATCCATGTCCCTTAAATATATCTTGATATTTAATCCCACCACTGTCAATGCTCCCCTCCTATACCCATCCCTCCAAATTAGCTTTCATTCTATTTTCCACCTATTTATATCTATCCTTTATGACTGAATACAAATTCTACCTCCTGAGTGAAGCTTTCCCATGACTAACCCAACTGAAAGTGATCTTTCATTGTTCCGCTTATGTAGTAATCAACATAATAATGGCTTGATTAATGTGTTTTTTCAATGTGCCTATGTTCACTTCTATTTGGAATGTAAACTACTAGAACATGCAGTTTGATAATTAAAACTATTTTTAAAGGTAGTTGTCGTATACTCTTAAAATATCTTCTTAAAACTACCGAGGAGAAATCTCTCTAAAATGGCCATAGTGGGTCTATTTTAAAGTCAATGATAACTTTAAACTTATCTATGTTACCCCTAAAAACTGCTTTAGCTATATACATTCATTAAAGGGCTGTGTTTTTTTTGGAGACAAAGTCTCACTCTATCACCCAGGCGGGAGTGTAGTGGCACAACCTTGGCTCACTGCAACCTCCACCTCCTGGACTCAAGCGATCCTCCTGTCTCAGAAGGGTGGTGTCTTGTTTATTTCTTTGTATACCCAGTGCTTAGTATGTGTGGTAAGTATTCAATAAATGTCGACTGAATAAACTACAATAAGAGACATATAATGTGCTAGTCAAGGTTATTTTTCTTAATTGAATACTGGAGAGAATAGATATGACATTTCTGAAATCTGACAACCATCATTAGAAAATTTTACCTTAAAATGAGAACTTAAAATCCAAATGGCATAATCAAAATCATGCAATGAACACTGTTAAAAATGGAAGATTTGCAAATAACTAAAATTATTCATGCTTTCTCATCTTCATTTAAACTTCCTTATTCTTACCAACATCAAAATTTTAGAAGTATTTTCTAAATTTTCATTTCAAATTACTATTTATCCAAAGTAATCCCTTCTCCAATTACTATTTCATATCACAGTTTATTTTCTTCATAGCACTTACTACAATTGAAATTTATCTTGTTATGACTTTAGGCCCAGTGTTCTACATCACACTGTCACTCTTTCATTGAAAGAAAATGTGATGTCAGTTATAGGTCTCACTGCTTAAAAAGTTCTGCAGTGACATACAAAGTTAAAAGCTGGTGGAAGCTTTAAGATGGGGAGATCTTGTCTCCATTAGAAAGAAAGGGGGATAAATGATGACGGGGTTGGTTGGTGAGCTAGGTCCTGCACTCAGAGACCTGGGATCTAGTACACAGCAAATGCGTTGGTCTTTGAAAGGAGGTTCTTTTTCCTGCAAGACTTAAAAACAAAAACAAATAGGCTTCAACCATATGAAAATATAGAGGCATGTTGAAGTTAAAAGAGGGGAAGATAAAGGTGTTCTCCAAGGGATGGTGTTAATCCTTTCAACACATTTGATGCGAAGGAATATAGCAAGAATAAAGTAGATAGAAATGTAACTGGGGAGGGTGAGGAGAGAAATTTTCTGATGAGGAAAGTACTAGGTAATCAGCAAGATAAAAATGTGATCGGGGAGCTAGTGATATAACCAGCATAGAAGTTACATAGCATAAATCTATTATAGGCTGAGTTGCGTAGCTGCAACCTGTAATAACACTTTATATTTGTGTAATCCTTTATAACTTACAAACTGTTTTCTTAATTTTTATCTCACTGAATAATTCTCTTTCTGTAATCCTTCTGTAATAAAAAGCAGCAAAAAGTAGAAGTCCAGGTCTGTAGAATGAAAGACTGGAAGGAAAAGGGACTCTAATCCTCCAGATAGAGAAATGGGATGAGAAACAACCCAATCCCTACATAATATAATGTTTCACAGTAATCACTACCCTAAATAATTCTATACAGGCAGACATAAAACATAATTTCCTAAGCATCACCCAGTTACAATGAAAAATGCCAAAAACAAACAAACAAACAAACAAACAAACAAACAAAAAAACCCAGAAAACAAAAAACCCACAAAACTGTTTAGGGGTAGGAAAGGGAATAAATCAACTTTACTTTGGCTATAGATGATACAGAAGTCAATCCATTAATTAGGATAATTAGATTGGACCTCACTCTCTCCTCGGTAAGATGTTAAGGAGAGCATTACAGGTTTACAAAAGTACTAGGAAAGAACAAACATGCTATCAACCAAATGAACAACACATTCTCTTGACAGGTCTTACAGTCTTATTCCTTGAAGAAAAAGTGTTTACCTGTAGAACCATTTAATCTTAGAGCTACAAAATCATCTAGCAAAATTCCTTCTCTACACTACTTTAAGCTCTTATCCAAGCAAGATTTAGCTTTTCCACATTTTTACAGAGCATAATGTGGTGCCCCAAATTAAAAGCAATACTTCAGATTGGATCTGACTAACACAAACTACAGTGAGATCCTCATGTTCATCTTCCTCATGGTGGGCATAAAACATTAAATCAGATATTATTGTGATTGTTATGGCAGCCAAAGTCACTCTAGTAAGTCCAATTAAAATTATATTTCAATTATATGCTTTCTGCTGATGGGTCAAAACTTACAACAATAAATAGAATAAGAAAACAAGGACACAAAAAGGATTACATTCAACTACAATCCTAGAATAATTATTCCTGAATTGCTCCTATAAACATTTCCCCCATCTTACGCTTGTATATTTCTCTTTTTTGGACTTGGCTAGGATTTTTAATTTTGTAGACATGGTCTGTAATTTCAGATTAAAACTTTAGCTTTCACTAAAAAAATCAGTTTTTTCTTGCCTACTTCATTTTTCTTTCATAAAAATAGTTTATATATTTTTTTAATTTTCTTGTTTCAAGAATCTTATGTGAGAGCTGAAAAAAAAAAGAGATTTTAAAAGATCAGCATGCTAATAATTCCTCACATAAGTTACTTCTAAATATGCTCTCATATTCAAGAAAGGACTGAGGACAGGAATCTCATTAGTTTGCTGTCTTCAGGTATGATCATTCATCCAGTATGAACCCAGTTAAATCCTGCCATTCATGTTACATCTCTTAATCTTATCCTTAAGAATACAATGAGAGATTATCATTAAAATGCCTTGCTGGTAATATTGCCACACCATTTGGCTAATTTATCAGCTTAGCTTATTCTATTATTTTTTTTTTTTGGATTGCAGTCTTGCTCTGTCCCCCAGGCTGGAGTGCGATCTGGGCTCACTGCAACCTACTCCTCCTGTGTTCAAGTGATTCTCCTGCCTCAGCCTCCCAAGTAGCCGGGACTATAGGCATGTGCCACCATGTCGGCTAATTTTTGTATTTTTAGTAGAGACGGGATTTCACTGTGTTAGCCAGGATGGTCTTGAATTCCTGACCTCATGATCCACCCCACTCGGCCTCCCAAAGTGCTGGAATTACAGGCATGCACCACCGCACCCAGCCAGCTTAGTTATTTGTAAAAGTCACTAGTATCTCTCACTTAAGTCTGCTACGATTTTCAAGCATTTTAAACTATTTCTAAAAACACAGAACTGACCTACTTAGACATTTGCATGTCAGCCGTCTTTCACCTAATACTGCACAATTTCACAAAGTTTCATCAGACTTTAGGCAGCAAGATGAATCTCTCCTTGGGTGACAGCCTGGACTGGGAGGTGTGATAGTGGTGACAGTGTCTAATTATGGCATTCTTTCTACTTTGATGCCCTCTGCTCCCTTCATTATTACAACCCTGGAAGGTAAGATTAACAAGAATGACATTCTGTTATTTCTCTGTAGTCAGTAATCATTTATCACTTTAAAAATAATTAAAATCTCCAATAGGTAAAGTTCACACATTTTAAAGTTGTACTCTATAGTGCCCTAAATTAGATTTTTACCCTGATTTTTTAGTTTCTTTTCATTTTCTTTTTTTTTTTAAAGACAGAGTGCTGCTTTCTTGCCTGGGCTGGAGTACAGTGGCCCAATCACAGCTCACTGCAGCCTCAACCTCCTGGGATCAAGAAATCCACTCACCTCAGCCTCTTGTGCAGCTAGGACTACAGGTGAGCCCCATCACGCCTGGATAATTAAAAAACTGTTTTGTATAGATGGGTCCCACTATGTTGCCCAGGCCAGTCTTGAACTCCTGGGCTCAAGCCATCCTCCTACCTCGGCTCTCAAAGTGCTGGAATTATAGGTATAAGCCATCAAGTACTTTTCACTTAAAAAAAAATGACATTTACTGAGGTAAATTTACATACAACACAAGATGCACCCACTTTACATGGATAGTTTTAAAAGTTTCAACACACACATACACATGTGTAATGACCAGTCACAATCAATATAAATATCCAAAACCCCAGAAAGTTTCTTCATACATTTTTTGCAATTAATAATACCTACTTAGGCTCGGGTAACCATTGATAATGACTTCTGTCATTTTCAATTAATTGTGCCTTTTCTCAAATTTCATATAAACAGAATTAATTGTGCCTTTTCTACAGATTAATTGTGCCTTTTCTCAAATTTCATATAAACAGAATCACCTGGCTTCTTTTGCTCAGCGTAACAATTCTGAGAGTCACACCCTGGCTGCATGCAGTATTAGAGGGTATGGCTATATCACAACTCATCTATTTACTTATTGGACAATGTGTTGTTCCTAGCTTGTGACAAATATGAAAAAGACACTGTATTCATTTACCAGTCTTTGTTGTTGACTGA